ATCCATCCATCCATCTATCCATCCATCCATCTATCTATCCATCTATCCATCTATCTATCTACCTATCTATCTATCTATCTTTCTATCTATCCATCTATCCATTTATCTATCTACCTATCATCTATCCATCTATCTTTCCATCTATCCATCCATCCATCCATCTATCCATCTATCTAATTTCTTTCTCTTTCTTTCCTTCTTTCTGTTTGTTTTTTGAGGCTGGTCTCCCTATCTCACCCAAGCTAAAAGTACAGGGGCTACTCTTGGGTTGGCCCCATTACTGATCAGCACAAGGAAGGGAAAGGAGGGGGAAGGGGATAAGCATTTATATGGTGCCTACTGTGTGCCTGGTACTGTGCCACACACTCTACAAATATGATCTCATTTGATCCTCACATCAACCCTGGGAGGTAGGTGCTATTAATGTAAAATAGCATTCCCATTTTACAGTTGGGAAAACTGAGGCAAACAGGGGTTACGTGCCTTGCCAAGGGTGACGTGGCCAGTCAGTGTCTGAGTCCTTCCTGACTCCAGGCCCAGAGCCTGTTTCCTTGTTTCCCTCACCTTAGGCATCTGGAGTCCACCATATTGGTGGGATGCATTAACCCAATTGCAAGCTCAAGGGATCTGCCAATCTTGTTCTCTCCCAGCAGTGGGATTGTATGTTTTCTACACTCTGCCTGGCCTTTTATTCTTTGTCACAGGAGGTGGCCCTATTTGGAAAAGGGAGAGGGGAGGGCAGTATTTGGAAATGAAAGGAATGAAAAAAACAAAATACATTCACAAATTTTCAAAAGAGAAAATAGCTATCAAAGATACCTCCCCAGTCCAGACGGAGTGGGTGTTCCTAGCTTACTAGTTATTCTTGTTCCCTGGACTACCTGGGCTCTCCACAGAGCCCCCGCCCAGTGTCCTCGGCAACTCTGGTCCCGGGGCACCCCCAGCCAAGAGGAGATGGGCACCACAGTGCTCTGAATGGAACCTATTGGGTGGCTCAGGATTCTAAGCCCATTCCTGGCCAATCAGAAAATCTCCTGAGTCCTCTGGGAACCCCACTCCTATATGGTCCCTAGGGAACAGCTCCTTCCCCCTCTAAAGGTGAGAGGAGAAAGATTCTCCCATCAAGGATAATAATACAAGTGCATCCTTTGCCCAGAGAAAAGAGACTAATTTAATCAGGCGGTCCATTTCCACCAAAGTCCATACAAGACAAGGCTTCCCCTCAGGTCTGCTGCCCAGCAGGCCCCCGGAAGGGTGAGGAAGGTATCTCCCAGCATCTCCTCTACTTCATGAACCTAGAAAGCGATCCAGACAGTCCCTCCTCCGTGGCCCCATTTGTCTCCCAGCTGTCTGGCAAAATGGAGGCTCATAGATTCTATCTACGGGTCAACCACAGTTCCAACAGGAAATGAAAGACAAACAAGCACTTTCTTCTTGGTCTCAGTCTCCTTAGCCAGCAATGGGTTGAATGATTCAGGGAGAGGGCGGGACCACCCTCCCCAAATATCTCTGAAACCGAGACTCACAGCCATGGAGGGTGTCTTTGTAAGGCCCTGTCTGGAGGGAAGGCACCCTCAACTATCCTAATACCCAGCCAGGAAGGGCCATAAAAAACTGGAGAATCTCAAAGTGAGAAGGGACATCAGAGGTCCGCAGGGCCAATCCAGAACCAGAAAGGCAGACTGGCCAATGGATAGTGTGACGGACTTAGAGTCAAATACAGGAG